AAGAAGGATAAGATAAAAATTAATAATAATGTAGTGTACAAGTCTGTCAAAATCATAGAGGTCAAAAGCAAAGGAAAAATTAGTATGTGGAAAAGGATACCCCTAACAATAAGACTCAGACTAAAAAACACGACAATTAAATATCTATTCATTTATTGATACATGTAAATATTATTGTGTATTGAAACACTCACTTAAACTATTTCACCCTTCCACAGAACCATCTTCATTTTTTCTGCAAGGAAAAGAAAAACATGAAGCTCTAAGAATCCACACTACCCATAACAAGCCTCTTTTCACCGATGTCAGATGAACAAATAAAGGGTCTTATTCCCGCCTTTACATATCCGAAATCGCGCAGCATTTTTATTTTATTTTGGTGTTTCTTTTGAACTACACTCAAATTTTATTTTTACAAAATACTACCTTGGATTATTGCCAGTTTTTTTTTTCAAGAAAACGCTTTAAGAAAAATATTTGAGAAAAGGACATTATTATCAGCGTTACAATTTGAAAAATTGCCCACACCAGCACTCTCACGTTGGAAGTTTCAATGGTCTCGCGATGGAGCCTTTGCTGCCTACGCAACGCTATTTGATACTTAAACATATTGTCAATTGTTTCAGATATAAACCCCACACCACACTCAATGGGGTCCATCTGTGAGGAGTCGAATTTATTCTGCTTATTGATGTGCTCATGGAAGTGAAAAGTTACCGCTTTCGATGAAAATAAAGATTCGCTATTGTCAAAAATCACGGTAAACGTTTTGGCCATCTCACCAGCGTCTATCCGAAACGTACCCTCGTTGGCATCCTCCCAGTATTTCAAGTCGTTGTTCTTTTCATCGACAACCCTCACATCTATCGTTACCCCTTTATCCATCTCAAAAATGAAATCCATGGAGGACTCCGGCGGTACAACCTCAGTGAGGTAGAAGGCCTCTCGTGGGGAAATATCCGTTTTTAAGGCGTGGGTTTGCTGTCCAAAAACGCTACAACAGAACAATAGGCAGCAGACAGCGAGGAGGATGAACCCGCTCACCCGACTGTGATATCGAAGGCCCAACATGTATTGGCCTTACCCCTTTTAGCGTATTACCTTCGTATGGGACCAATAAACTCGAGGGTTGGATAGAAAGGTTATCCTGGTGCAATTGTCTATTCGTCGAGAAGCAAACGAGTATTTAAGTGCTCTAATAAAAAAATGTGATCTTGAAACCTTAAACTCCGTAATGTGTGAGAGGAAAAAGTAAATATGTATGATATAGTAATTTAAAATTCTCACGTATTACAACAGCAGGATACGGTAGTATTATCTATTACTACCAAACTATGAGGTACGATTCCTACAAATAAAATCCTTCAGCAGACAAATGCATCATTCATTAGTACAAATTGCAATGACAGAATTAAAAAAATGAAAGACGTCAAGAGAATCGTTTACCTGGACCATTGGCTCTCTAGAACCTTAGCGAAGTTGCACTTCTTTGTATTCTTCTCGGCGCGTGTGTGTGTGTATGTGTATGTATGTATGTATGTATGTATGTATGTATGTATGTGACTCACATGATTTCACCCATAAACCTCGAGGTGTCGCTACAGATTTAGAGCAAGCGCAGTTGTTGCCTGACAAACAGATCATTTTAGTCCCGCCAGTTGCAAATAATTCTATTTATGCTAATCAGGATAAGCAAGGCAGAGGACGGTTAGTATAATAAGTGTTTTTAATGCGAACAAAAGACTACGTTAACATCCTTCTACGGAAATGACATGGTACTATGGGAACAAGGTTGATATGTGGCGTATATACATGCATGGTACTTATCAAGATAAGCGCTTGAATATCAGGTTCAACGATATACACCAAGTACTTCATCTATACACGGAAAGAGTCGTCCATGCATAGATATTTCTGCATATTCGAGGCCCTTTATAAAATACAAAGATCAACTATATAATTGAAAACACTGCGAAAACGCATATCATATTATCAATCATTCGTACGTTATCCATATGCATCCACGATTTTTCGGAAGGTAAGAAAATAGAACCCCCGACTCGGATTAGAACAAAGCTTGAAGAGAAGCAAATGGTCACGATGCGTTGATAAACAACTACATCTAGCATAAACAGCATATCTTTACGCGTTAAGATAGCACTACAACTGTCCCTATTAGTCATGATCAGAGTACATTCCTAATACTCTTTCTCAATCAGCACATCTGATAATTATAGCAACATCACCAATCCACCCGCAGAGCCATGTTGACGGATAACCACAGTTAAGTGCACCGCACAGGGCTCAAGTACATATGTTTATTCGCTGAACCCAACAATTGCAACCTTATACAGTAAATAATATACTAAGCTTCAGAATACGCGACACCATTTAGCGTATCGTGATAAGTACAAATACTCTGCCCCACCATCCATCCAATCTTGAGAGTTTTTAACTACACATTTGAACTACGAAAACAGGTGTCAACTACTTCAAAAAGATAAAAGAATTATTCTTGCTAGACAACCAAAGTAATAATCTCGTAAACATAACAAACAACGGTAAAAAAAATGTTAAACAAGTGCCTTAAAATAATAGTGAAAAATTTTAAAAAGAATAATCTAACAAATGCAATAATTGAAACAAAAATAAGAAGTAAATAACTTTTAATCTCTGTTCAAAAATGATTTATTGATGCAAAAATGAAAAAATAAAATTACGATGGCAAAAGAAGCAGTTTCAAAATGATAAAAAATGAAAGGAAATGCGCATAACAAAACCGCTGAAAGAGTTGGTGGGGCGCAAAAACTTATTTTTAAGGCATGAAATGGGCTGGTGGGGGGC